TCCCCAGCCCTGGAGGGGATCAAAACACGGTCAGAAGTGGCACTGGAGGCCATGGTTTAGTGGGCATGGGGGTGTTGGGGTGACGGCTGGGCTGATGATCTTAGAGATCCTTCCCAACCTCAGTGATTCCCAGTTTTACTGTCATTATAAATAATGCAGCCCCCAAGGCAGGCAAGATGAAATGATGACTCTGCCCTTGATGGGTTTGGTGGTGGCCTTGGCAGTGTTGGGTCAATGGTTGGACTGGGTGATCTTGAAGGACTTTCCAACCTCAAGGATTTGATGATCTGTCTGCCCAAGCGGCTGAGGCAGCTGATCCCAGGGCTTCTGACCGCAGGACCCTCCACCCCACGCAGTGCTTGCTCTGCAGGTGCACCGGCCATGCTGTGGGTAGGGCAGAGGGATGCGCAGCAGCGGGCGGGTGCGAGTTGCCCTTTGCAGGGCTGGGCTTAGGGAACCCTATGGAGAAGTCTGCCAAAGGGGACGGGAGCCTCCGTGCTGACCGAAAGCCCCGGACAGACGTCTGATGGAAACTGAGAAACCACCACGCTGAGGGCCATGAGCAACTGTGCTCAATGGTACCTCTGCAGAGAAACCCCACTCCTAAACAAATACATCTACTGAGACCCAAAACCAGGAGACGGCTTGGCTTAATTTTTTTTTTTTTTTTTAAACTAATTTTTTTCACTTTACATTAGTGCTTCAATATTTTCTACTATACATTAGTGCTTCAGTCCACCACAGTCACCGCAGAGCTATTGCACGGACGCACACATGAACTCTATATACAGAATATACACTGTACAGGCAGGGCTGCCACTAAGGAGTATTGTACAGAATTCGTTACTACGGGGAGGTACGGCCGTGTCTCCTCACTTGGCTGCTTCCAGGCTGGAGGCAGTGGGAAACCGAGCAGCCTCCCACTGTTCCTGCACTGTCCGTGCCCAGCTCCGGAGGGGAAAACGCAGGTTCAGCCACCTCTGAGACTCACTGATGTCCCCCAGCCCCACGGCAGCACAGCAACAGGCAGACACTGCTAGTGAAACGGCCCAACTCCCACGCCATGAGCACTGGGCGCTGCCGACGGCTTTGCGCGGGTCTCGGCTGGAACGCCGAACTCTCCTGCCACGTGCAAAGGTGCGCGCCAGGGCTTCTCACAGAACAGGAGCGCATCAGGCTGCCAGACCCATCCTAAAACCCATTCTTAAGGCAAACATTCAGGCCCTGGCCAGCCTGGCAGATGGTGAAATGCAGTTACAGCAGCAGCAGTCAACCCTGGGGTTACAGTAAATCCATTTCCAAGGCAGCGGGCAGAAGGACCGCTCCCTCGGGCAGAGGGCAACTGCCTCCAAAGCTGGTAGCAGAGCCTCGGGTCTTTCCTACGTTCAGTCCAGAAGCACACACACGCGTCTCTCTCTTTCCCAAGAGGTGAATGGGAGCAGCGTGACGGAGCGGGAAGCTGGGCTGAGGTAAGAACAAGCTGTGCTGAGGGCTGGAGAGGTTGCTCCCCACTGACCCCAGCGCAGGGTGAGCAGGCATCTCTGACAGTGGGGCCCGCGTGCCCACCCAAGGGCCACTCTGCAAAATCCCACTCAGCAAGGCTGACGCAGGCTGTAAAAATCAGATTCTCCAACATGTTTTATCGGCAAGTGGGCTGACCACATTAGATATCTCATTGCCCGAGGCAGAGCTCCAGCTGTCTTGTATGTTATTAGAGCACACAAACCTGAATTTTCAAGCAGAATAAATTACATTTGGAGGCCAGCTCCTCTCTGTGGAGCTCCAGTAGCTGCTCCCATTCCCACAGCACCCAGCCGTGATCTCTGGAGAGCTCTGTTCCTTGCAGATGCACCAGCCCCTTCTTCTCTGTCTCTGCCTTGGGGAAAAAACAACAGCCTTCCACGTCCAGCAATTCATCCTCCCACTCCCATCACAGCCGAAGCTCTTGCCGGCATGAGTCAGGCTGCTGAACAGGCAGTGACAATTTTTTTGCATCATTTGTACGTGAGGGACTAGCATCTCTCTGATTATCATCAGGAGCTGTCCTGAAAACAGCTCCCCCCTACAAGGCTGGTCCTGCTTCTTCCAGGCAGGATGACGGCATGGAAATTTTGAGAGCCCAAGCGCTAGACAAGGATGGATGTGTACGTATGGGCAATACGTGTTTTGCACAGCCTATCACATGCTGCTGGAAGCCTGGCTGTCACTTTCTGACCTACGAACAGCCGCAGAGGGCACAGTTTCTCATTTACAGCCCCCTAACCCAGCTCCTCAAAGCAGGACTAGACAGAGAACAGTGCACACGGTTCCCCGTTCCTGCTACAGTTCTGACCCACGTGCTCACGTGCTCAAGATCACGCTCAGTTGTGAGCAAGGTCCAGATCAGGTCATGCTGGCTGGATCAGGGAAGAAGTTTCCTTTCCAAATGCGACTGCGGCTGCCCACAGCTCGGAGCAGGGTGGGAGGGCCCTTCCTTCTCCAACAGAGTCCCTTCGCCGTGCTCAGTGGTGGTGCAGCACGGCCTGGAGATCCTCCGGCAAGGAGCCAATGATGGTCTCGATATACAGGCCCACCCGCTGCAGAGTTTCCTCCTTCACAGGGAGGTGTTGGCACCTGGCTCTTACCTACAGCGAGAGAGAGGAGAGAAACAGAGGAATTTTCTAATAGCTTCAAAGTTCCTCTTTCCTCCTTGCGATCGACCGAGCAAACTTCATGTTCTTTAGTTCAGGGTACGAGACAAAAGACAGGAAGCTGTCACCTGGGTCTCAGGGAGGTGAAAAGTCTCAGAACTTTGAACCCTTTTCTACACAAACACTGAAGTTTCATCACTGTCCCTTTTGCCAGCTCTCCAAATTGGCAACTAGTCTGGAGAAGAGGAGGCTGAGGGGAGACCTCATTGCTCTCTACAACTACCTGACAGGAGGGGGTAGTGAGGTGGGTGTTGGGCTCTTCTCCCAAGGAACAGCGATAGGACGAGAGGAAATGGGCTGAAGCTGCGCCAGGGGAGGTTTAGATTGGATATTAGGAAAAATTTCTTCAGGGAAAGGGTAGTCAAGCACTGGAACAGGCTGCCCAGAGAGGTGGTGGAGTCCCCATCCCTGGAAGTGTTCAAAAAATGGGCAGAGGTGGCACTTTGGGCCATGGTTTAGTCTAGTCTACCCTTGATTGGTTTAGTGTGGACTTGGTAGTGTAGGTTAATGGTTGGACCGGATGATCTTAAAGGTCTTTTCCAACCTAAACGATTCTATGATTCTATGAAATCAGGGAGTGAGAACAAAGTTTTCTAAGCAACAAGTGTGAGCCATGTCCCTGGTCTCTTCCTGCCACAGAGATACAGACAGAAACGATTCTATGATAAGAAGGGAGGAAAACTTACCAGCTTCTCACGAAGTTTTAGCACCAGGTCTACAATCTCCACCTCAGACTTGTCCTTCATCCAGGCCACAATGTTCTAAAGAGAAAGAACAGCTTTCTTCAGGGACATTTCTTCTTTACAGAAGCTTTTCTCAAAGAGATACCCCTAAGCAAAGCCTGAAATAAAAGCGAGGAGGAGGTTTCTCATCCTCTTTCACAACTCCACTCACAGCACTTAAGCCTAAATGAGCAAGACAGAGCTCTCCCCAATTTTCTGACCATGACAGCATCAAGCTCTTGCCTGTAAGAGAAAAATCAAGGAAAGAAGCGGTAATATGCAGGCAGCGCAGGGCTCCCCTCCTCCAGTCAGCACTGTGAATCTTGTGCTGTGCTCAGAATTTAAATCTATTTGCCTGAGTCAGTCCTGTTAAAAAAGGAGACAGCTTTGGTATTCCCCACACCATGCTCGAGGACCTGCACTGCTGAGCAGTGAAGCAAGCGCTGCAGCTGCAGATGCACCTGGGTAGGATGCCAGAGCTCCTGGGACTACCCCAGTAGCTGCTCAGTTCAAGAAATTGTACCAGCAGTCACTACTCAAAATCCTACCTATTTTCATTAGGCATTAAGGAAGCCAGCAACAGATGACGCTTCCAGTCTGGCACTCTTGGCTTGGGAAGGGCCTGATGAATGAAAAACAGTTGACAGAAGCAGCCAGAGCAGGACCTGCGCTGGCTAACAAAGTCAGGGAGCTGAGCTGCTCATGTTCTTGTCCCCCACATGTGCTGCTATTCCTGTGCACCGACAGATGCAGGGTAGAGCTGTGATTCCCAAGGGCACAAAGCACTGTCCCCCATCCATCAGTGCAGAACCGAGCGGTGCCAACGCGTGTCCAAGGTAGCAGTGCCCTCATCTCCCAGGTTTCAGGCCCGAGAAGTCTGGTGTTGGTTTTAATACCTGCAGCTGGAACATACCGCGTCACAGATTGCCTCCAAATGAAGGGCCTCCAGCTTCTGGGTCATCTCCTTGTGCCTCTGACGGTACCAGCCATCGAAGTTGGGAGACTTGAAGAAACGCCTGCAGAAAGAGAGGTGACATTGAGAAGGGGCAGAGGGGGATCCGGAGAAGCACGCTGGCTCCATTGCACACAGATTCCCCTTCCTCCTGCAGCAGACACAGATGTGAGAGGAAAAGACTTTCTGATGCACAGTGTCATTAGGGACGGTAACCGATTACGAGCTAATATGCTCTTTTCGCATCTTGTCTACTCCAGAGACTTCTGTCAGGCATCAACGTGATACAGCTGAGCAGCTTTAGCAGCTTGTCACCCACGAGAGGGGCAATCCTGCCAGTCTCACACCGTCCTCTGCCTCAGCTCAAGCCTCAGCCAATGCAAGAAGCGGTGCTCTCTGCCCTTCCGTAGCCTTATTTTGGCCCACTTTTCCTTTAGAGTTACGATAGCTGGGATGGTTCAACATGGGAAGAAATTCACATTCCTCTGCGGTATCTTGCTTAATTCCCCTCCTTTCCTGGTATTTACAGCTTTCAACCATTTGCTAGCATGGACCTAAGTCCCATATAATTGGTGATTTACATCTTTCCTACATAAACAAGGTATCATCGAGGCTATGCCAAAGGATGCGTAACTTACACCTCTCCCGTGCAGTACAGTAATAAACCTCCGTTTTTACTGAGCTACACAGGAAAATGAACAGGGGGCAGCACGACACCTGTTTTTATCTCAGAGTGTTACAGAACTTTAGATCAAATTCAAAATGGGATTGAAAAGCCACTAACTGAAAGACACGAGTTGTGGCAGCAGAGAAAGAAAAAGATGAGAAAGTTTAAGATGCCATATAGAGCTGAGTAACAGCCACTTTAGCAGCACGTTCCTTGCAACTCTTTGATTAACAGTGGGGTATCTCAGATGCTGTATTTCAGCATTTTCCTCTAGTAAGAGCGGCCCACTTAGTATCTCTTCAAGCTACTTCCTCAGGCTACCTGCAGAGAGCTGATGTTTGTACCGTTTCTTTTTGCAACTTCAAGGAGTCTTGCTCTCGTGCGCTCTCCCCAGCACAGTGGAGTCCTAAACCCAGCCAACATCTCAAGATGCCACTGTGATACAGATAGACTTATTTTTTTAATTAAGGGTTTGACTTAGGAACACAAGAAATAGTATACGCACAAAGTCTCACACAGTTAAGAACCCTGGAACGTGTAAACTTCTGCATGTACATCAGTTGCCTGCAAACCTCAACCAATTTACTGAAACAGCTTGTTGTTTGTTACTATTTTTCAAAATATTAGATATCCAAAATTAAATCTACCACACCTGCAGCATAAGAGTGGAACTGCTTGTTTTCTGCTAAATACATTAAAGCACAAAATGGTACATACTTTATCACAGCAACACAACAAAACAAAATCCATGATTATTGTCTCTGCTCACTCTCTGGAATTTTTTCCCCTTCTCCATATCCGTACATCTCCCATTTTCCTTCCCACTGGGTATCTGACTTCTGGATTTTTCCTACACATATTGTGATAAGTGTCTTCTCCATCCCCTTTATAGAATCATAGAATCGTTTAGGTTGGAAAAGACCTTTAAGATCATCCAGTCCAACCATTGACCTACACTACCAAGTCTACTCTAAGCCAACCAAGGGCAGACCAGACTGAACCATGTCCCCAAGTGCCACCTCTGCCCGTTTTTTGAACCCCTCCAGGGATGGGGACTCCACCATCTCTCTGGGCAGCCTGTTCCAATTCTTGACCACCCTTTCCGTAAAGAAATTTTTCCTAATATCCAATCTAAACCTCCCCTGGCGCAGCTTCAGCCCATTCCCTCTCGTCCTATCGCTAACTACTTGGGAGAAGAGCCCAACACCCACCTCACTACAGCCTCCTTTCAGGTAGTTGTAGAGAGCGATCAGGTCTCCCCTCAGCCTCCTCTTCTCCAGGCTGAACACCCCCAGCCCCCTCAGCCGCTCCCCACCAGCCCTGTGCTCCAGACCCTTCCCCAGCTCCGCTGCCCTTCCCTGGACACACTCCAGCACCCCAATGTCCTTCTTGTGCTGAGGGGCCCAAAACTGGGCACAGCATTCCAGGTGCGGCCTCACCAGCACTGAGTGCAGGGGCACAATCACCTCCCTGCTCCTGCTGGCCACACTATTCCTGACACAAGCCAGGATGCTGTTGGCCTTCTTGGCCACCTGGGCACACTGCTGGCTCATGTTCAGTATAACTAACTATCCTTTACGAAAACTATGGACGAACTCTCCTGCATGCTCTCTTAAATTCTACCCCGAAGAAACTACATCCTGTGTTCTAACAGCATTGCCATCATGCAGTAAAAATGAAACGGCCATTGTCCTGAATGCTGTGCAAACACATAAAACCACTACTGGATGAGGACCTACAAGTCTTTATACCCCATCTGCCCAGGAGCAGACACTTCAAAAAGAGAGATTCCCTGGAGGACAATAAATGACACAGCTGATGTCAGAGATGAGCCCACTTCTCCAGCAGCGAGGACTTAAACTAAGTTCCTGAAGGTGGAGAGTTGACAGCTAAACCCAACTGTATCTACCCATTTAAGAGACTACATAAAACACAGGATTGATTCTGCCCTGCATTTGCTCTTCTTGCCCATTATTGGTTGATCAATTCTTCATAGGCATGAGTTTTTCGGGTGAGCAGCCTTTGTCCTGAAACTCCCCTTTTGCTCCCAATTCTAATTCAAGATTTGATGTTCATTATAACTTGCACCAGCTGTTAGGAGGATAAGGTTAAGTAATTACCAAAATCTTACCTGTAGAGGCCTAACCAGTCACCCTTAAGTACACAGGTAAGTTGCGGACCAGCGTGCTCAAGGGTCTTCATGAAATCTTCCTGACGGAAAGGACGAATCTGTGGAGGATTCTGCACAACAGAAAGACCGTATTACATGGTACCCAAAAGAAACCGGGGAGAAAATGAGGTCTGTATTTACAATGGAAGAGGCTGCACAAGGTGGACTCAATAACTATGAGAACAAAAAATGCATGAACATCTTAACCAGCCTTGTTAGTAAAATTCTAATTAGACTCACAATAGCTGAGCTTACTGCAAAACAGGAAGCATCTGTCCCAATGTTTGTTTCAACATTGTTTTTTTTTTTTTTAAAGGAGTAATAACCTTCTTCCTTCAGTGAGGGAAGTTCACACAGTGTATCAGAGTATGTCATCAGCATATGGCATAACTATTCCTAATCCCTGTAGTCAAAGGAAAGCAGAAGCAATCGGAAAACTGAACATACCTTCCATGGAGTAATGGCCCTCTGCAGAGGCATCAGACTTGCAATGTAATGCTCCTAAGAAGAAATTAAAACAACAACAACAAAAAGTTAAAACAATCGAGGAGCCTCTTGCATGGTCACTGAGCGCGATGGTCTTCTCCAATGCACCACAGGCCCAATCAACAGCCTCCTACTCTGTTTTTTTTCTTCATAGTTGCATTTTACATGAGCTGAAGAGTTCCAGCTTGTTTCCCACCAGGGGCTAGGTCACAAAACTATGCTGCAAGAACCCTAAGCACGCCATGTGAGAAAAGGTCAGGGGGGAAGAAGTTGGCAGGAGGGACTAGAATCTGAGAAGATGCTCTGTCCTCCCATGTACCACCTCCTAAGATGAGGTGGAAAAGAAAGTGGAGGAGCCAAACTTGGCCAGCTGGACGGTCACCAAAAAAGCACCAGCAGCTTTCTAGTGAGACTAGACAGGGAAGGCCTTGAAAGAAAGCACGTGCTAAAATGTGCCTTAGGGTGGTGATCACCACGTGGACAGGCCTCTTAAGCTCTGCAGCAAAGCTTCCCAGAGCCAGAAGGCAGGGTTTCACACTGGCATTGGGTTCGATTCCAGCGTTAGAGGGGAGGGGGAATGTTCTGGGCTCCTGGCCCTTCCCTATGCATCTGCTTTGACTACCTGCTAAAAAGAGCAAAGAGTTGGCATTAGAATCAAATAACATGGAACACCTATTCCTACATTGCAGGAAACAATGTTCTGGCTTTACACACAGTGTGCTGAATATCCAACCTGCAGACTTTTATGCTAATTACTGAAATTTGTGTTCAAGAGACATTTAGTTCCCTTCCATGGAGTAAAACATCTCTATAATAGAGTGCCACATCCTGAATCTATTACAGATGCTCAGCTACGGGTGAATAAAAGAGGGCAAGTGCAAACTTGTCACTCAAGCATCTCCCGTCCACCTCCCCTCACCTTTACACCACTCTGACAAGTCTCTGCTCAACTCACCAGGGGAATGATGAAACTCTGGGTGAGCTCGAGGAGGTGACGCCTCAAAAGGGCACTTTGGACTTCAGACGGGCGTTTCCGCTGAATCCCCTGCAAGCACAAGCAGCGCATTCACAAAGGTGCTGTTCTCTGTTATGCAGACGCACGCAGAATTTGCAAACGTCACAGCTATAAGCAACCGGTCCAGAGCAGTCTGGAAAATTGTACCGCCCAAAATACATATTCCACTCTCTAGTTAAACATATCACTCACATTTCACTGCATAGCATCTGGTTTTTTCACTCTTTTTTTGATAACAATTGTTCTCGCTTAGGTTATCATTAACACCAGCATTTAATCCATAATATTAAGTGAGAAATTTTAAAACTGGCATGATAAACATGTCCAAGCATACTTGACTAAATCATTACACACTGTAAAAAGTCTGTTCCTTTTGGAGAGTTTCGTCTGTCTGAACCAAGCTGTTAGCACAGCTTTCCCATAATGACATACAGGATGTAGGATAGAGTGGAAACTGCTTACCTTTAGTAATCTTTTTATCAGGGTTTTGTCTTTGTGAAGAAATGTTTTATAAGAAGTATAGATTCCTAGATTGACCAAACAAAACAAAACAACAAAAAAAAAACCAAACCAGAAAAAAACAGAAGTTAAAAACAAAACTTTGCCCACGCACCTAGAGGAGGCTCTAGATTATGTATTATTATATGGTGCAGGGATAACAGAACTGAAATTCCTAGCACAAACCCTGGCAGCTCTGTGTGTATGTATAATTACAAAAATTATTAAAAAATAATTACAAAAATTACAAAATTGCTAATGCAGCCAGTACTCACAGCAGGATTAAAGGACACTGAACTACCTCAAGGACCTTCTTATGCTAAGCTTATGGTGAGATAACTTACTGGAGTCAGCTTATGGCTAGGCCCGAGCTGAACAGTTAGTTAAGTGACAGATAGCTGCAGCTGGGTAAGCAAGTTCCTTTGACTTCCATCGCATCGGAAAAGCAGACATGAGATATAAAATAAAATCAAGAAAATTAGAAGTTCTCCCAACACTAAAGTAATTTCTTCAATTGGCTTTTTCAATCTCAGAACAAAGATGTACAGTTTTTCTCTATTAGGTGGGGATGCCACTAAAGAGAACTGTGTAGCACATCGAGTAGGAGAAGATGACAACACCAAAATGTCCGTTTGTTGAGATACAAAGAATAACGTATGCAATGTTCACATGCCTGCAAAGCCTGCAAAATCCCCCGCGTGCAAGGGTAAATAAGATTAAATGATGTCTGACAAAAGGACTTACCTGGTTTTGTGTCTAGAGTTTTTAGTTTAGCTAGCTTCTTCACCTTAACTTGCTTGGGCAGGTCTCCTGTGGAAAGACATCAAATGACTATTCAGGCTCTGAATCTACCCTCACAGCCACAGCACGCACGTGAGAGACTTTGCACTCGAGAACATCCAGTCCTACCCTCGTACATCTTAAATCATATTTTCCTTTAACTCCATCCTCACATAAGCCTTCTACATCTGCTAACTTCCCTGCTAACATTTTGGAACAGGAACGTGTTACGGAGGCATTGCGAAAAACCCCACTCCTCAACCTAGAGGTTTTCTTGGCTTCATAGATAATAATCAGTCTCTCCCTCCACCTCTCTGTTCTTCTCTACGCAATTTTCTCTTTCCTGCCCAGGAAGGACTTCTCCTTTTCTTAATGCTTAAAAAAAACCCCACAGGGACTTATCCTCTCAACAATTTGTCTTCACCATTGTATGCACTCATCCTGCACATCAACTGGGTCAGAGTCTAGACTTCCCTTTGGTTTCTCAGCTCTCACAGGAATGAAGATGTGTAAAATGATGGCTAGCACTGCAACTGTCAGCTCACTACTAGCCTCCAACAAGGTCTACCAGCACAACAGGACTTTGGTTCCACTCTTACCTGACATTCTGAGCTCCCCAACCCGAAGAATGTGCGGCCAGTGCTGGAGAGTTTTGATGAAGAAAGGGTTTGTGACTCCCACAATGATGTTTGGCCTAGAAAGAAGGGGGGGAAAAAAAAAAAAAGCAGAACAATGTTCACCTCAGGGTTTCCTTCACACAGACAGTGGCAAGTGGGTAGCAAGGGTCTACTGGCTACTTACGGAGCTTGCGTCCTGGTGGTATACTCTTTAAATTCACTGTCGTGGATAGTAAAATAGGGGCGGTAGTCACAACAGTACCTCAGAGGAGCAAGGCAGCTGTAACAATAGACAGAATAGTTGCCATACAAACTTCACAGAGGAGGAATGTGTGTTTACATCAGGTTTATGTCCTAAAGCAGTGTTTTGTCCTGCCAGAGGTAACACTTTGGAGGACTTCCAGGCTTTTTTTTTTTTCCGCTAAAGCAGAGTTCAAAGCTGGGGAGACAAAGTTCCTCAGGGCTGTGAACCATCAGGGCTCCCAACATGGGAGATTCACTTTTACTCTCCCCTACCATTGGTGGAATATAAGCAAGACTCTCTTGCTATGCTATTTGTCTTACATGCTTTCATAGGCAAACTAAATCTAAAACAATTGACTTGGCATAAGAGTGGATTTGAAAAACTGCCAGAATTTATGATTATAGTTACCTGTATCTCAGAATCTGAAGGCATTACCTGGTAAGTGTCAGAACCATTTCTGAAGAAACCGTAGGGGATGGTGCCATTACAACAATTGGCTCTCCTAGTAACATCAGCTCCCATAACATCTGGATATGAATTAGCACTGGCTGGAAACACCTGTTAGTGAAAGGAAGAATGAGGTTAGAAATGCAGTTCAGAAAAGACCAGAAACAGTTATGGCATGTAAGCCTATCCAGATGTGCTTCTATCTGGGAATTTGAAATCTAGGACCGATTTTTAGTATCCCACAACAGAATGCCATGTGTCTTTACACATGCTGTTGCTCAACCATTTTATTCATGTTTAAAGGAAACGCTTTAAGCAATCTAGAGCGACCTGCTGATCGTATTGCTCTCAGTACGTCTTTTCATCTAAGCAAAGCAAAATGCATGTGGATTACGGCAGATGTACGTCTATTAGAATAGCACCTATAATGCTGGAAAGTTTGGTTCAGACACACAATGTGTACGCTTCAGAGCTTAAGCTGATCACCAGCTGAGGTCAAGAAGAAACCCTCCTCTAACCAGGATACGGGGGGTTGTGGTAAGGGCAGTGCGCACAGGTTTAAACACCGCACAAGCTCTGCAAGCCTGGTATTCTAAATGACACTCTGCAAAGCAGTAATTTTTGATTCCTCATTTGACACCTTCATTATACTTATGATTTCTAGGATACTCTGAGCAGGGAGAGGGGAAAGCAGCTGGAGAGAACAGGGTTACAGGGATGGTGGCTCTCACCTGAAAAGATCCAGTTCATGAATACTGGGGAGGACCAGTGGGGCTGGTAACAGATTCTAAATGAGGAAGGAAAAAAACCCAAAGAAACCCAAAACTGTTAGTAAATGGAAGCATCCTGACTGAAATGCCATCTAAACTGGCCACATCAATCATAAAGTAGCCCCCTCTACAATAAGCATAAAAAGAAGAGAACAAGGTTAACACTTAGAGATACGAGCCAGGAACAGATCTGGGTTAAGCATTCAAGGTCCAAATTAATTTCCTTTGCTAGAAGATAGCCAAGAATCCCTTCTTTTCAAGATGTGAAAGACTTCCTGTGTCTGCTCCTTTATTTTCTAGAGTTTCCTCTGGTGCAAGGCAGAGCTTAAGATACAGATAGAGACATGAAGGGTTGGTAATATGGGTACCAGAAGTTGCGGAATATGACAACATTATTCAAAGCATAGAAAAAGAGGGGGAAATCAAATGAACAAGAATCAAAATTAAAGCTGAATAAAAGCAGTAAAGATGCTCAGACAGCAAATGCTGCAAAACAGCACAGAAGACTAAGGCAGGGTCTCGTGGAGACCTACCTATGCATGAATTCCCAGGAAAGGCAAGGTGAACAAAAACTGTGAGAACAATGCACATACATAACTTGAAGCACACAAATTCTGCGCAGAGAATCCTGTTTTGAAAGACACAAGGCATGACAGCATGCAGTCTGAACCAGATGGGTAGCTTAAACCACATTAATCCCAGGCCAAAGTGGCTTCAAATAGGATAAGGCTGAAAGAGTTCCAATTCTTCTCTACCCTCCTTCCTTAGTAGTCTAGATTCTGCTCATCACCGGCTTGTGTCATGCCACACTTCATCTCACCTCTTGATTGAACTGCTTCACTGGGCTTGATCCTGGCTTATCCACCCTTGATGGGATTCTCACCTAGATTACAAATAAGAACAGATTATCCAGGGAGATGGAATCAGTTAGCATGCACAGACACTTTGCTTTCCTCCCTAACGACCATCCATGCGAGAAAGCTTCCTCAATTATCAATTCTAATTGTACAGACGTTAGGAATAAATGGAAAGAATCTAGAGTAAACAGCAATTTTAACGTCCAGAAGAAAAGGGAATACACATTCCACTTCCCAGTTTGTGGTTTTTTGAGTACAGATCGCCAGCAACGAGTACCTGAATGACAACTCCCATCACTGGAAGGTTCAGAGTCTGTCCTGGCACAGGAGGCGGCCACTGATCAATCTCATTGCACACTGCAGGGACACAGGTACAGAAAAAAGTTTAACCTGAAGGTCAATACAGCTAATTCAGCAGGTCCCATGAGTTCTGCCAATTTAATTATCGCTCATTCCCAGTTCACGTGTCCCCCTGGCTAGCTGCAAACAAACACTACATCAAATAATTGTGCAAGTTTAGGTCAGACACCAGGCTTATGTCTGCGCCACTGTTTTCACTGCAGGCCCAGCAGCACTAGACTGGCGATAAATCATGATTAAGTTGCATAGTGCAATAAAGGCCCAGACAGAGATGTAGCATTAGCAGTTTTTTCCTCTCTCTGGGAACACACTGTATGCAAAACTGACAGCATCATCTATTAAGGCTGTCAGACAATTCCCATTAATGCATCCTTTACAGCTGTTTATAATTTTGACAAGCCAACCACTTGGATGAAAGTTTTTCCCTGTTGGAATTTGTTCCAGAATGAACTAATTTGGAAGATTTCAGCTGTCTTTCAGGAACCTCCTGATAAAACCTCTGAGAGATTTCAATATGCAAACTCTCCCTCCTCGATCCGACTGCTCACCTGCCTCCAGGCACGGCTCCAGCTTGTCAAAGTATTCCGGAGCAATCAGCTGCAGCAATGACTGGAACAAGTTCACGTATGGAAGGCGTGACACCAGCACCAAGGACTGAAAAAAGGTGCGTGCAGCAGTCAGAGACCCCCTGACGTGATCATTTCTAGCACTGCATATACTTATACTGCTTACTAGAGGGCTACATTTAAAACCCAACATCAAAACCATGAAAGAGCTCAAAAGCAGCACTTTTACTGGTGGAATTCTTGCTAGCTACGCTAGCTGCTGA